TTACCAAGCAAATCAATAAGTAATGCTTCATCAGTGACATCATCAGTTTTGTTTAGATCACTGTATTTCAGCTCATTAGAGCATTATTAGTGCTTAGAATTGTCAAAGGTGCCACCTACACCCATAGCAACAGTATGCAATATTTATCTTTTTTCAGATTATGCTTTTATTTAATTCTTTAATTTACCCCCAATCTATCCATAATGTAAATACTTTAAAAATGAATGTGTTCACCCAGATTCAATTAGAAGATTTCTGTCATGCTTGGAAATTTTATAACATGACTGCAATGTCACTGCAGAGGTTAGATAAGCTAATACTGCTGCCTCATTTCTACCCCAACTCCCACAATGATTATGATTTATGTTTTGTTTAGTTTTCAGTATTATCTCGGCATATCAGGGAACCAATAAATGATTCCCCATTTATCCGCAACTGGCTGGATCCCTGAGTGGAGCCCTAAAGCTCTTTTCTCATTTTGACACATAACCAACACAATAAAAAAATACATGACTGCTTTTTCAGCATCTCTCATAAAGCTAAAGTATCTAGTTAAGCGCCTCATCCCCATATCATTAATGGAATAAAGTAGCACTGCATAATCTAAGAGGTGGTGGTCATTCATTTATTTGTTGCTTTATGGCATTTCTTCTTTATTGAGTTTATCCGGTGACTTACATAATCTGTCTCTTCATCAAGGTCTGCTCTGTCTTTGCGTGCGTTGACTTGAGGGAAAACCTCAGCCATGAGCTGAGTGTGGGGACCTGGTGCCTTGCCATTACAGTCCCGGTGGTCCACTCCAAAACCACTACCAGCCCCAGACCCCCCAGTGATGGATCCCCCTGCACCAGACCCACTCCTCCTCCCAGGGTCCGGGTGGAAAGGGGGAAGGCCTGGGGGCTGTCCGCCTGCCCGAAGCAGCTCTGGGAGCTCCAGGGAAAGAGCTCGTCGATCCCTCCTTGCAGCAAAGTGTCTGGAGAGGAACAGTGGGGGTGGAGGTGGATGGTGTGGGGGTAGATGAGAGTGGTGTGGGTGGGAAAGAAGGGATTCCTGCTCTGCGGCATAGGTGTAGGAGTGGGGTGAGCGGGTGCCGTGCACACGGAGGCTGCCTCCCACCAGAGGTGTCCCACCAAACCTGTAGCTTCTCCGGCCCAGGCTGTTTGAGCTGGACCTTTAGAGCACAACAGTACAATTAAGAGCTATTTAATATGCATGAAAATGTATGTATGTATCAATAAAGAGTTAATCAATACTTTTCTACATATTAAGAGTTTAGTTATAAAGCTAATTGGGTAATAAAACAACAGCAAAGGTTTGATGCTTCCATGTAGGTAATTAAGGTTTAATGAAAGTATTAAGAATTCATTAAGGCAATAGCTGAAATCAGTTGCTGAAAGTAAATCAAATGGTCTACCTGCGGCTCCATGCAGACTGTGGATGGGGAGGCGACCCCAGTTGTGGTAGTTTGAACTGCGACCATGGCGCTAGAATAGACACACAGCAATTCATAGTAATTAGTAATTACCAATAGTTTACACCCATTGCAACCAAATCCATCCAAACACCAAAAATCCAAGAAACACAGAGACAGAGACTGGACAGAGAACAATGTCTACAGGAAAGCATGAACATGTCACTGCTAGAAAAAATGCATTAATTCTATGTTATTCCCTATTAAAACTACAATGTGACATAGTCCATGGTAAGGCATCCCATCCCTGTGGACTGACATCTTTACATCCATCTCCCTGACTGTTGCAAAGAAACCTCACATTTCCCAGTGAATGCGTGCTGTGAACACGTGTGTCAAAGTCCATGCTAGAAGTCCGAAGCCACACAAGGGTTCAGAACATCAGACAGGTCGCAAACATTAGTCCCACATTGGCCACATTTAAATGAAAAAGCAAATGCAATATTCAATACAGTTTACAGACCGACTTGGATGTACTTTGTCCCACCATAGCTACTACAATAATGCAAAAAACACAGGGCTGGTGAAGGAAGCTGCTCTGGGTGAGAGGTTCGTGGGCTACAGCGAAAGAGATAGTGTCACAGAGTGCTTGGAGTCTGCGGCAAGCGTGTGACAACCAGCAGTGGCAACAGTGGGAGTCCTGCGGTTAAGTGAAGTGATTTACTGTTTTTGTTTTGCACTGTGTGCTAGTTTGCTATCACTACGTTTGTGTTTATCAATTACCTTAGTTCCCTTTAAAAAGGACCCTTGTTGCTCGCTTCCCTTTTGGGAGTTGTTTTCTGTTTATTGAGCGTTAAGACACTTTGTTTAATTATTGTAAATAAATTACCCTTTTCTTTGCAAACTTACTCCTGTTTCCTCGTCTTCTTCTGCCCTGGAACAATTATTAATTGTACTAACCTCCTCCCCCTGGGCTTCTGAGGTTCGTAACACCCACACTTAGAAATTACTGTTAGTCCCTACATCAAAAGTGAATTCTTAACTTGTTAGCCAGAAATGCTCTTAAGCAAGCATTACCCACTTCCACCTGCAACTGAGATGCTTAGTGGCTGCCAGTATGTACTGGGCAGAACCAATATGTTAATATGTAGCTACTGTATAGGGGTAAGTGGAAAAGAGCACACCTGCTACTGTAGGTCAATCATGTATCAATAAATAAATGACTAAACAAATTAAGCAAACTGGGCTTTTTAAATGAGATTGCAGTGCACTCAACAGGCTGTCATCAGATTCAATATGCAAACCCCTGAGTGCCTGTTCCACTTAAAGGAACATAACCAGTTCTGTTTGTTTCCGCATGTCCAATCCTCTTACCATGATGGACCTAATTATGTTTTACCCATGGAAACGTACGTCACCAGTCAAAGTCTGAGCTGATGCTGTATACCAGAGAATCTATGCATCCGTTTCTATAGAAACTGTGGTGAAGCGTGCACGCAAGCTGTTAAATAACACCTTGGTCCACACAGAACTGCACTGCGGATCACTCAAGTGGAACATTGCATGTGAATGTGTGTTTTAGACACCAAATATTACCGTCAAGACAATTTGTTCCACTCTATATGGCATAAACCTCAGACAATAGCTGGTACAAACATACTGTGTATTATGTGGTCAGGCTCTTTCTTTGCTACCACACATACTGCACTATAACAACAGAAACATTCTCTTATATTAAATGTAACTGAATGTCAGTGGCAATGTCTAATTAATGGGATGGACCCCTATTCATAAGCTGTTGCTTCTTGGGAGTCCATTTTTCACAATAGAATACACTGTTATTCCTGATCAGTGGTTGGGCAGGCTATTTTGAATTGTGGTGTACTATAGTAGTAGCTGCAGCCTTGAATAGTGATGTGTTTTGTACTACATAATTTATACTGCTTCTAAAATGTGGATGAGTAACTGAGTAATTACTTTTAATTGATTCTCACCCTTGGCAAGATATGGGCTGAAATGGTTGTGATGCCATCGAGCTGGTGTGTAGCCAAAGATTTCTTTCTCCCCATTCTCTAGTGACTTGTGTTGACACTGGCTACAAGTTCCCACGAATGTATCCAGCACCAGTTGACATGCTGCATCTTATTTGCTTGTAACTCGTATTACTATATTTAGTGTGGGAAATGTGTTATAGTTCTTGGCTGCTGGAAAAAGTAATATATTTTGTAACTTGTCACTTCTGTAATATGCTGCCCCCAACAACTGCTTCTGATGTAGCATTAATTGCAATGTGTGATATTGTGGAAATAAATAAATAAATAAATAAATAATAAATAAATGTGTACCTCTGCACCAATGCAGTGTGTTACAGTCAGTGAATAGCTATTGATTTCTGTCTAATTTGGCTGACACTGAACAGAGGATAAGTACTATATTGAAAGCAAATTACACTGATCCAGGTTGTGTGGTAATTAGAGATAGCCTTAGTGATAAGTAATTGAAGGGAACATGTTGCCATCCTGTACCCGTTCTGTATTTTTAATATTATTCCTTGGACTGAAACCTTTTCAATTTCACTTCTATTGACATTCAAAATATTTAATATACATTACACAAGTTCACACAATATTCCGTATATTAATACAAAAACAGTCAAAACCATGTACTGTAATTCCCTTTCAGTGAATAATGCAACTATGGATGTTTATTATATATTATTTTGATCTTTAACTCAGCTGTGTACTTCTTCCAATTCTTTATGCATCAACAGCTTGATTTCATCAGACACATTGACAGATACCCCCAACAAAGCAGCACATCCATTAGACTGATGAGTGAAATTTTGATTGTGCTGCTACACAACAGAGAGATGCATCATTCCCTCTGAGTTTCATCTGAGTCCAGTCGACACTGTTTGATAGACTGTATAAAACAGCGAAACAAACAGATGGAACTGTTTCATAGGTCCAAGTGTGATTTTGGCAAAGAGAACCAACACTATCAGGCTGCTGATAAATCTGTAACAAAACTTAAATAAAATCATAAATTTCTTCATAACCAACTTTCTTAAATTCTTATTATTTTTGTTCTTTTGCCCCAATCTGATGTAACTGATGCCTTCTGATATCAAATAACTTGGAGTGCTCAGAGAGAAGAGGAGGAGACTTCACAGTGAAGTGGATCTTCCACATCCACTTTGTTTAACATCATAACCTCTACAGTAAGAGCCCTGCTAAACTCTAGCTTATCATCTCTCTAGTTTTCACTCCCCTCTATCTTCCTGTCACTGCATAACCCTTCCTCACCACCTCTTTGTTCTGTTTCCCCTTCTCTCTGTCGTTAGTTTCCTCTCTACTTCTCTCAGTTTCTCTGATTCAATAGAAAAGGGGAACAGTCAATTAATACAAGTTGCCATGGCAACTGGATGCAGAGCCAAATATTGCAGAGGTGTTTCAGTTTCACTCTCCTGAGGTTCTGGTTCAATAGGTACAACACTAGGGCACTTCTACTTAGTTTGGATATTTTAGAATCTACAGTATATGTTGACTACATGGTGCCAAACTTTCGGATGTGAATAAGGATTAATTGGAACATACAAGACTAATAAAATAAAAGTGTTCCTTGCTTGTACTCTTATTATCTAATTAGTGTTGCTCTTTTTCGAAACTTCCTTCTATGTTACCCTCTGGCCTCAGAAGTGACCCTCCTGTAAGATATTCTTAGTACACTGACTGAGTCACGACTTATCTCTCTTTAAAACTGAAAATTATTTATAAATTGTTGATTGAAATTGTTGGAGAAATGTTGGCAGTGATGCAAAGTATACATATAATTTAGAGTGAATAGGCTTTCATCAGTCTACAAATGCATGTCAGTGGATAAGAGCATGACTGCGTACTAGAGAGAGGGAGCGTCTCTCCAGGCTGCTCTTGCCCAGGCTCATCACACTGCTCTTCCTGGACTCGATGGTGAAGCTCCGTCTCTCTGAGGAGTAGGATCCCCTGGGCCCTGAGACAGCACCCAGCTCCAGGTGGCCATTGGGTGTTAGCGTGCAGATCCTTGGGTCTAGAGGTAGTTAAACAGAGAGAACAGTTAAGAGCGTTTTTGTTGTTTCTTGGGCCATCCATCTTTGTTTGTTGCCAACTCAATGTTCGACCCATTTGGTGTCTTTCGAAGGAAAAACGTATTGTCTCATACCTTTACACTGTTGAAGCTGTCTATGCCTATGTTGCCTAGTGATTTCTTACATTTTCTAGAATGATATTTGCCTTCTGGGAAGAGATGTAGAAGTTTCTGCTGCCACACCACCAGACAGCAGAGCAGCTTTTTCTTCCAAGCTATCAGACTTTTAAACTTAAATTCATACTCAGCACTGCTCCACTGAATATAGTTTATTTATTTTTACCATTTATAATAATTGCTTTCATGCTACTACTACTACTACACCACTGTATATTGTCAGCTACGTAGCAGAAGGGAGTTACAAACTCAATTTCACTTTACAACCTCTTCTTGTACCTTGTACCCTTGACAAACCTCAAGCAATGAGCTTTAATCTGCTGTTGGTTATACATATAGATTCAGAGAGCCTCAAGTGGAAATACACAGGAAAAAAGTATTAGTCTTGGTTGACTTCTTAAGCAATAAAGCGATAAAAAGCAGACACTACACTACCCACACATCAAAAGGAAAAGCCAAACAACCGGAGGAACAGCTATGCTCTGTAAGTGGACAGACAGTAAAACACCTTGTTTTATTTCCATTTATGTAGGAACGGACTGCAGAGTTTCATCTTTTGCTTACAGTGCACAGCAGAGATCACATCTCCTCTGCAGCAGCAGCCCACTCATACTGTATAGAAGTGATTTCCCCTGTCTCTGAACTCATTTTTAATCCTTTCTGAACCGCGTTGTTTACTGGTTCGGCTGGATAGCTGGAACAGGTTCATTGTGAGCTCTAGATAAAGATTGTGCAAGTGTGTAAGCCTTTGGCACATAGTTCTGTCTTACTTTTGTTTTTTGGGTTGAGCACATCTAGCTTCTTGAGTAAGCGTCACTGGAAAACAAAGACTACTGGCTTATAAGTGAGATGCAAGCAGATTGTTGGGCACGTTGTTCAGTTTTGACATGAATGGGGAAATCTGTGATTTGTATTGTGGTATTGGTGGTGAATCATATTTGAGACACAAATTTTATTTTAAAATCTACCAAAAAAAAAATTTAACTTTTGCACAGTTATTTTAACTGTACTAACCTACTAATAACACAATAGTGACATATTCATATATTTTTATTTTATTTATATTTTAGTTGTGTTAGTTATATTAAATCACAATTTACAGTAGATGGGCCTTGTATTTTAATTTACCACAAGCCACTGACTCAAATAAAACATGTAATTATAAGGGTGAGAGGGAAACATTCCATCAACTCACCAGACAACTTTATGGAGTCGTGTTTCTCGCTCTCGTCAAAGTTAGAAGAGGAGCGATCATCATCTGAGTAAGAACGAGTGGCATCACCCTGCAGATAAAAGGAGGTGAGGGAAACAGAGGATAGAAAGAGAAAAAAAAAGGGAAGTACATAGGACTCATGCTACTGGGACTCTCAAAGTGTACTAAGGGCTCAAGACCGCTTATCCTTTGTGTAATATCAGTCAAAGCAACAAACTCTGCTCTCTCCCACCAACTATCAAACATATTTGAGGTTATCAGGGCAGCAAAGATCTGTGATGTGTCTAAAGATTAAATCAGTAAAACCCCCAAGCTACTAACACAGTACTCCAGTAACTGCACAGGTTTGGTTAAGACCAATGGGATTTCCTTTTTGTCTTTACAATAGGGACATCTGGAGTAAATTGGTTCAATAATCCCTAGTGTGTAGCAGTAGTAGACACTGTGTGAATGAGCGGAAAAAGTCAGAGAGCCGTGAGAATGAAAGACAGAGAGACAGAGTGAAAGACGGATTGCTTTCACACATCATCACCACATGTCATGAATATGGTAAAGATTTGATCTGTGTATGAAAAGTCAACTGGATTACTCAACTGTGCTACAATTTTCCAATGATATCATCTGTGAGTTTGACAGCTGATGTCAGATAGACAGTGTTTCCATTGAGATGGAAGGCTTCAGGAATTTCAATGTGTTGAGTTAAACAAAAAAACTAAAAAAAATTTGATTGCTGATACAGCCTCTGATAAATACCATGATTGTAAATTGTATGTGAAGTATAATTATTAGTGTAATTATTATTTAGACAGTAACAATTAAAAAATATATGCAGAATTTTGCCTGCATAACCACATACAGAAACATACAACAAAATTAATGGATAGAGGCGACTTTCAGTCTTCTAGAAATATAAAAATCATGTTGTAATGGATTTAGTCATTCTTGTTTTTGTATTTCCATTAGAGATAAATATGATTTGTGTTTTCACCAGTGTTCTCATCATGCTTGAGGTAATATAAACTAGAAGTGTAATGTTGCGATTAGGGCTGACCCCAAATAGTGGAAGATTCGATGCTTTGATGAGCGGCGCCTGATTCAACTGTCAATTTCACAGTCAAAGCTTCGCAGTGAAACAAGGATGAGGCCATTTTAGCGATATGGGGGTGCACAACGTCTGATTTTACATATAATTACCAGTTTTCTCCCAGTAAGTTATTATATATAGCCTATTACAATACACATTTCAACCCTAGGTCGTCAGTATGTGTAATGGCAGAAGACACTTGCAGAAGAGACGGAGCCCCAGCTTCACTGGTGTTGTGCTGAGTTGCCCGCACCTCGTGGGACTTTCAGATAATTTATCACCGTTTTAAAATAGCCGGCTACTTGAAATAGATGCCCGAAGAACCGCGACATGCATGCAGTTGTCAGCAGCACGGCATACATGCAAGACTCTGCACAAGACCAGTGAATGACAGGCAAGAGAGAGAGAGAGAAAGGGGTCTTCAAAAAGCCTCAGTTTAGCTGGAAATTTACAGTGTAAGTTGAATGAAAAGAGACTGCAGCTCCTCAATATTAAAGTGGAGCTACCGTGTGTAACCCCCTCCCTCCGGCTTGCAATGGGCGCGCACAAAAACACACATGATTCAACTATCAGTCGACTATAGGCGGGACTTGACGATTCTGATTCGACTATGTAAATCCATGGTCGGGGACAGCCCTAGTTGTGTTGGAGTCAGTCAATAGGGTGGCTGATCAACTTCATATGTGCAATTTTTACTTTTCTTTCACTTCCTGCCCTGTATTGTGTCCCTCACAAACCCCCCCATCAATGACCTTCCCATTCCCCACTCAGCAAAGAAGTATAATAACTGGCACTCATGTGTGGTCTTGTTGTTTAGTCTATAAGTATTTGGTGTATATGATGTGAGAGTGTTAGTTACACTGTGAGTAACTCTATGCATTTCAGTCTCCTATGAAAATCAGCAGGACACAAGAGCCTGTGTTTATTTTAGCTGTGAACGTCACTGCCAAAGGTTGGAGTCTTTAGTCTTTGAGAAACACTGACTGATGGATGTCAGCTGTCCATAGGAGAGAATGCAAGGATGGAGAGATGGAGACAAGCTAAATATAGAAGTTTATGTAAATCACATACTACTGTAAAAGTTCAACATCAATTTACAGGCCATGTTTCCTTAAATAACAATATACACAGTATAAGAAATGTTACATCTGTTATTTTGTGTATTATTGAATTATTGTAAGGTATGAATGAATGAATGGATGAATAAATCTTTAGTGCATAATCCATTTGCTGTAGTTACTTGGTTTGATTCAGGATACCAATAGCATTTGAGACAAAAGATTTCCTAAAAGTACTTTTTGCAAGAGGCACCCTGAAGCGCCTCCCAGACTTCAGAAGCTCAAACTGTCTAGAAAGAGGGTGAGTGCTGTCTGTAGTGACTTTTCTAGCCTTCTTTCTCATTCTGTCAGAATATATTTGAGTCAGTTGTTTTTGAGGATGTCCTACTATTTTACTAGCCATTAACACTGTCCTGTTAAACTGTTAAGTACAACTGGCTCTGTTGTTATGTCTTCTTTATTGCAAAAGATTAGCTTGTTTGTCTTTGCCACATTGATTTCTAGCTCGCTATCTTTGCATCATGTTTCAATGGCCTTTACATGTGCTAAATAAGAGGCCTCACCAGAGGGGTCAGTTTTTTGTAAGAGTCCTACTAAGGCCATATCATCTTCATATTTTATCAGCTTAAAGGTACTATTATTTATGGAAAATTAATTTGTGAATAGAGAAAAAAGCACAGAGGAAAGAACGTTGCCTTGTGGGCAGCCTGTACTGATAGTATGCACTCCTGACAAAAAGCCATTTACACATACTCTCTGAGGGCGACAGGAAAGAAAGTCTCTGATCCAGATAACCAAGGCCTTATCTATCTTAATATTGGCTAGTCTTTGCAGGATAATATGTAGCTTCATAGAATTAAATGCTGCACTAAAGTCTATGAATAGAACTCTAGCTAGCCCTTTAGGGAGTGCGACCTGTTTTGAAATAAGGTAAGGGCTTGTTGATTTGCTGCACTTCATTGGCATCTGTTAGAGGGCAATACATGTCAGCGATAATTTCAAAATATTTCACCTCTCCTGATAGAAGTTGAACCTAATTAACATTCTTAAAAGGATGTAATGAATAGCAATGAACACACCTGGCCTGGGCACCTGAATCGTCATCAACAATCAATTTATTATGGAAACAACCTTACATTGTGCAGTTCGAGGCCATGTGGCAATAGCAATGAGTTCCCTTACCTCTGCCTGAAAGCCTTCAACCAAGATGGCCACCAGCAGGTTGAAGAGGACATAGTTTCCAAAGGTCATGAGGGCCACAAAGTAAAGAGCAGCAAGTGGTGAAGTGGCTGCCATACCATTATACAAACTGCATTCCAGTCCTCTTGAGTCAGAATCTGAGAGAATTAAATTGATAAACACACATACAGAGTGTTAATAGTAGTAGACCACTTAAAAATGTATTAATTAAATATCGATAAAAATGCTTCATGCATACAATAAAGTGTACCACAAAGTTCAAGTATGGTTCAAATATGTTTAGCATATATAAACAAAAGTGCAATAGCATTTGGTTTGCAAACACTTTAAATAAGCAAGGTGTTTTTTAATAGCAGTATTTCCTTTACACAATAGTGTCGTGTTCTGACCTCGAAGTGAGCTAGGCTAACTCAGATTACTTCTTCTGGGTGTGCGTGGGTGGAAATCACTTCACACGACAAGGAATCTCCGTTTATGAACTTCAGCAGGTGAGTACAGAGATACAGCTGTTTACTCTAGAGAAGGCAGTTATGCTGGGTTGTAGACTTGGCTAAACTCGGGCACAGAACAGGCTAGCAACAACAATCAGGCTAGCAATGTCCGTGCGATGAGCCACAAGTCCCATTTTACAACAACATTAAAACTCTCGTGGGATCCCGTTATGTTCTTCCGCCGTGATTATGTCACATTCCTGACCAATCAACATGCTACACTTAGCAACAAGCAACATCATAGGTACGGTGTGGGAAAGAAGGTAAAACCTAGCTATTAGGGCAGAAAATCCCCACAAAACTAGATGTAGGTATGTATGATGTTACATCATGATCAAGTTATGTAACGTTAGTCTATAATTTTAACTTAAGTTAAATAGGCTATAATAAGGCATTAACGTGCCCAACCCTAATTATTACAGATTTATCAAATATGTCTGAAAATATAAAGTGTAGACTTATATCCTAAAGTTTATATTATTAGAGTTTTACATGGTCTGCTTTACAGGTTAAAGTGCAGAAATGTGTCGAATCTTAATAAATATGTGAAAGTCATCTGCATATATAGAGAAATTTAGGTTTTAGGTGGAGTAGATATGTAGAGATGGGTGCTAATGTGTTTGTGTGCATGCTTATCCAAACAGTGAAATGCTGATTACCTGGAAAACAGTGACAATGGCCCAGAGAAGGGAGTCAAAGTTCTTCCTGTCTGGTACTGTGTCGCCGGTCTCTGTCCTGAGACTGAACTTACAGCCAAAGATGTGCATCCCCAGGATACTGCAACACAACAGTAGAGCCTCTGGTGATGTTAACACACTGGAAATGTATGATCTGCTTAACCTGACTGATAATTAAATTTGGATCTTTGCAGATTTTCTAAGACATGATGAATTTAAATCCTACTTTTTAGAGTTTTCCACAGAGAGGCTTTAGATGATTAAGGCTTGAAAAATATCTTTAAAAAAAACAACCAACTGCTTGTGATTTTAGTAATGCTGCCATTTATATGCAGCCCTGTTTGTTATCATTTGTTTTTGTACCCTGACTGCACCAAAATATCTTCTTGCTGGGATAATGAAGATAAGTGTAAATGTTTTAAGGTGACTGAACCCCGAAGCCTGGATCATTGGCCTTGTTGTAATTGTAAAGTACCACAGTAGTAATGGAAGGAGTATTAATGTGGCACACAATTGTTATAGATACAGTATGGATAATAATTCCTTGCAGGGTAGCATATGGTCAATACCATTAGTAGTAGTGGTTGTAAAACATGTCTGCTGAAACCAGCACCTGAGGACAGCACTGTCGTGGATAATGTTGTAATATCAACCTGACAATTAACATGGAGTTAAACTGACAAACCAAACATGACAAGAACAAGTGTTAATTGTGCAATGCAGCTGGGATGTGACATTTTAGGAGCACAACTTACTTTTGCATACAGTACTTTAACACCAACACACATAATTCAACCCTATCAATACCAACCAATATGTAAGTAAAAAATTAAAATAATATCAAATAAATGTTTGTACTTGCAACTTCACCCTTAGTGTGTGTATATTTGTCTGAACACACACAAATATAGTATTTGAGAGGGTACTGTTATTAACTCAGGGCCATCTTTTCACATCACTTTACACAGAGCAAAATTACAAGAAATGGCTCCAGAAGAAAATAAAGCTGAGAGGGAAGGAAACAAAGACAGTGCGGACATTGATCGTCCACTGAAAGACCTTTTAGACCTTCTGAGTGCTGCTGTTTCAGTGCTTGAGCATTTACAAATGTCTGCTTGTTATGTTGTTCCAGATATTAAGTGTCTGCTTGTTAAATTCTAACCAGATTTTCAAGTGTCTGCTCACTATTTTGCAACGACCTTCTGCACTTCAATGGCAGCTGGTAAGCAAGTGCAAAGGACTTGAAAAAAGACAGAAGCCAGAACACATGTACAAACAAATATAAAAGCAGAAGATGAAACAATGATGCCTTCTCCCTGAAAAAAAAAAAGCCTTGGTACAGCTGTCAGTCAATGAAGAGGAGGGGACGCACAGACAGATTGTCTTCTAAGATCTGCATCAGAATGAGACACCAGCATACAAAGGTATCCATATGCAGCATGCACATGTATGACCTTACCTGAAGATGAAGATGAAGAGCATGAGCAGCATGCAGAAGGTGGCCACATTGTCCATGGTCTTCATGAGGACCACCAGCTGTCTTCGCAAAGCTGGCATGAACCTTACAAGCTTCAGCACCCTCAACAGTCTGAAGGTCCTAAGTACAGATAAACCTCCGTCGGACTGGCCGACGATCTCACATACACTGAGAGGAGACACAGACCACACAGACAACCAAGCAAAATAAAAGAATTAAGAATTAATCTTACATAAAAATACATACAATGCTGGTTTTCCACCACCAAGTGATATAGCACCATAGAGATTCAACAGAAATCCAATTTAGAAAGAGTTTTTAAATTTGCTTCTAAATGCCAGATATCCTCTTGGCATTGATAGTGGCAATTCTGCAAAATCCTGGATTATGTACACTGACAATATTGTTTTACATCAAATGCCAATGTTTTTATGTCACACCTGTGAGGTGGATGGATTATCTTGGCAAAGGAGCAGTGCTCACTAACAAAGATTCTGACAGATTTGTGAACAATATTTGAGAAAAATAGGCCTTTTGTGCACATGGAGAAAGTCTTAGATCTTTGAGTTCAGCTCATGATGCATGGGGGTAAAAACAAAGGTGTTGCATTTATCATTTTGTTCAGTGTATATTATAGTATAAACATATATTACACAGTATAAAAATATATTACACAATATGAAAAATACATTGCACAAAACAGTTTGACAGTAAAAAGTAGAGACATTATATGTATGTTATACTATAGCACATTTGCACATGCTGTTTGTAATAAAGTGTTTGTGTGCTTTAGCAGCAGATGGATAATACAAGGAAAAATATGTTCCAGTAGTGGTCATTTTGGTTCATTAACATGTAATATGTGGTTTTAGAGTATATAATCATGCTAAATTAAAGTCAAATTCTTGGTTTCTCTGCAATTATTCCCTAAGTAACCTACGATAAGTATGGTGATCATCAAACTCTCACTGTTGCTGATTTTGTTGTATTTTTTTGAGGTCTTTGTTCGCAGGGTAATAGATTATCATTGCATATATTCATATAGATATTGGAAGTCATTAGTAATGATGTTCATGATAGGCCCCTTTTATGCCTTGGAATATGGAATCATCATTGATTAATTGCTTAAAGATAATATGAACTGAATACCTCGCTAATTCTTGGGGAACATAAGGAATGCTTGGTTTATCTTATGTTGTTGTAATTAATGTGTGTCCACTTAAGAGATTACTTAAGTTTTGGACATTATAAATCAAACTCTTACTTAAATACTTAATGCACTACTTAATTGCAATTTTCTGCTGCGGAACAACCAAATAAGTTTTCCTTTACCTTTGAGATCTGGTAGGTATTTATCATGAGAAGAGAACCATTCCCTAGTGGAAAATCTGGCTTTAAAGCTATTTGTCCTCTAATGGAGGTGCCTCTCAAGGGCTCTACTCAGCACATCAAATAGTATCAGCTCTGCATTGGCAAAGATTGCATAGAAGCACTTTTACTGAGCATCTCTGTATGAAAAGCAGAGGACATTCAGATAGATGAAGAGAGGAAAATTGGTTGTGGAGAGAGATAAGAAGACAGATGTAGATATGTTCAATCAACATGTATCTTCTGTGACGGGCTGCCCATTTGATCTTGTTCAGTTTTAGTTGCTTTGATGTGTATTTGATCTCAGGGTTATAATGGGGATCACAGACAAAGGCGCTCAGCCAGATGAATTGGAAAAAACGCTAGCAGATCAAAGGCACAGCCACTCACCTGAAGCTCCAGGCACATAAAACAAAAGACAAAACCTGTTTTCTGCTGTCTGACGCGTTGGCATCCAAATACATACAGGTGGTACATTTCAACCAATGTAGAACGCAGGTGACAATTTGACAAAGCATACTGTGGATAATTTAACTGCAGAATCTCTTTCGAGAACAGACTGGCAAACCAAGTAACGTATGTTACCTGAATTACATCAGTCACTATTTCAAAAACATAATGATTTTGTCCTCCAAAGCCACTTTTTTGTTTCTTCTTCCTGCTGAAATACTGGATATATATATATATATATATATATATAGTGTAAATACCTTATGATGACAATGACTCCATCAAAGACATTGTAGGGGTTTCTCAGGTAGCTGAAGGAGCCAAATGCAGTGATTTTGAGGATCATCTCCAAGGAAAACATGCTGGTGAAGACAATGTTGCAGATCTCCAGAACATTAGTGAGCTCCTCTGGCTGGCACAGCATAGTGACAAATACAAAAAGGAGAGATTGGACAATATAAGGAAGGGGTAGATGATAGGAATACATAGGAGATAAGAAAAGGAAGGATAAGACAGAAAAAAATGCCCCTTCAGCCATTTAGTTGTAAGCTCATTACACACCACAAAAACAAAATTGTTGGAGAGATGAAAATTCAATATTTGTATAGTGGCCATTTAAGGCAATTATAATAAATAAAGATTAAGAATTTAGTTAGATCAGAAACATTAGACAAGCAAGTGAGGGCAGAAAGCTGACAGAAAAAATGGAATGGAAAAGTCAGAAAAGCTGAGAGAAAGAGCAATGAGGAGTGACAGGTAATGAGAAAGGAAATGAGAAGCAGTAGCTACAACAAAAAAGGGGGGAAATAGATTGTAAGTGCGGACATTATCTTTGGGAACATCATGGTCCCTTTGGTCATACATCCACAAATAACAAGCAGTCCAACTCAATACTTTGAGGAAAAAAGGCAATCATCTGTCACTCACACACACTTAGAGTACACATATACTTGTATACACACATGCAACAAGACTAGCGTGTTTAACTATATTTCTGACATGAATTGAAAATGCTCAATGAGACTCCACATGGCTGAGTTCTTGCTTTCTCTCCATCTATCTAGTGGTCTGTTCTTTCTTTTGCTTCCTCATTGCTTTGTGTAGTTATCAGTCATTTTACTCACCATGAACTGAATGGTAGAGAGGGCAAGGAAAAGGACAAAAGCTTTTTCATACAACTGCATTCACACACATGCACTGATATCAGTAAAGGCTCCTAGGAAAATGTATTGGTTAGCTGCAAATTTTGAGAATTACTGACAAATAAACTGACAATCATCGGTGGTGTGGTTTTCAAATACTGTCTGCTCTGCATGTCCCCATGCCCGTCCCTTTCCAACACAGGTAGAAGGTAGACAAAACATAACACATTTTGTCATCAATTATGAATGCTGCACATGCTGCCATTAAGAAGGTCCAACATTTTACTCCCTCCACCTTGGAGACAAACTGAAAGAATCAATTTTTGCTCCCAAGAACGATCTGGGTGCTATATTCTACTGTATATCCATTCAGTCCTTGAAGTTTGAAAATAAATTGCTGATTTACTGTGAGAGTCATAAAATTAGCTAATGAACACATTGCCACTCTTTAAATAAGACCACTCAGTCTTGTTAACACTTGAACATTGCCAGTATTTATTTTTGCCTTTCACTGCCTTTACAATATATTTCAGTTTCTTTTACTTTTCAGCTGTGTATGACACTGTTCGAGTTCCTCTCTCTTTCTGTTTTTGTCTGGATTGGCTCAATGAAAGCAAGAACACAAACGCACATACACAAAAAGAGCTAAAAGTGGCACAGTCATGGTTTCCAGCAGAATACTATTCCACAGAGCTCCTTTGTAACTTCAGCAATGACGCTGAAAAGCAGACATTCCACCACCCCAGAATCAAGATGTATTTGCATTTACACGTCTTTCTGTATGCATGTGTGCCTCTGTTTGTACTCTTTTATGCCTATACGTGTATGTGTTTGTCAGTAATAATGAGTGTTTAGCAGTGTGAAAACACGGGCTAATGATGCGTGCCCACCAGAGTTGGCCATGATGTGACGGCTGACCGCTGTTTGCAGACCAGCCAAACAGAGTCGGCCCCTGGAGATCCATTACTGCAGTCTCATTACTGCAGACCTGGAGACAGATCTAAAGACTTGCGTTTTCCGGTTGGCTGATATATGGAATAAAATAAGAAGAGCAGGAATTTGATTTCACACCAAGAACTCACAGTCCATTTAGGAAAGTGAGCAGTATGTACCTATAAATTGAACTAAAAACAAAATATGTTGTGTATATGGTTCCCTGAAAACCTGTCCCTATAACCATGGGTGACAAACTCTTTCCCATCCATCAATAACCCTCAAATGTCTATCAAGAGTAATTTGGTGACATGCATTGGTGTAGTTTTTATGCAGGTGCAGAGAGATATGTAATTCTGCCTACCAAGTAGGTTGTACTGTAAAATTAGACAGGACATCACGAGAAAAACAACAGCATTAGTTGGATGTTTTTTTCATGACAAGGGATTTCTGGTTGTGGGCTCTCTCTCTCTCTCTCTCTCTCTCTCTAATTTCCAAAATATCTCTAAATCAACTAATTGTTTTGGATCTATATAATTGTCTTAAGGGCAACACAAACTGGCAACATATGACATCAGAACATTGTTTTCTATAAACCTGACACTTGCCAGAAAATAAGCACAAATTTGTACTGTTTGGCTTGTACACTGATTTCTTCTGTCTGTATGACGAGTCCACTGTATGTGTTGCATTGTTGTGGTGGGTGGTAAGGTGGGTGTCTGACTTTGAAAATAGAGCCCACTGTTTGCATCTGTGTCCTACCAACAGTTGGTATATTGCTGTGACCACTGGAACTCCACAGATAAAATTGTTAATTTGTGACCTAAACTGAACTGTTGTGAAGAAACTCAGCCATTGAACTCCTACAATACTCCAGGTATTCACACATAGGTATGAATTCCGCCCGTGGACCCAGCATTCAGCTACCAGTGTTCAGTGTAAGCTATGACCCATGATGTACTCAGGTCAATAAAAGGGTTAGCAGTCTTCCAGTTTGTCCTGCTTGTAGCAGACACACAGCAGAACAGGACTCTAATCTTACAGCAGCACCATAAAAAAGCTTGCAAGATCCCCGCAGCAAGTTTAGTTAACAAGTCTGCAGGCTAACAAACAAGAGCAATGAGGCAGCTTTACACCGAGTGGCTAACTTTGAGGAGAACAGATGGAACTACCGGTTCTTCCATCTGCATTTGAATCGCCAGCTAACAAGGAGCACGTCACAGCAACTTCTTCCTTAATGGATTGGTAATGTACATGGACATTATATTGCTTCACATAGCTTAACTCGGCTAAGCACAGGACTGTTTAGTGCGGAGAAAAAGCCCTGTTTTTGTCTGCAACACTTGTGTTGACTCTCCAAATCCTGCAACCTACTAGCTATTAAATACGGAAGCCCTAAGCAGCCATCCATTCAAATTTTTCTTTTACTCCATTATCCTGTGATAAGGGGATAATTTTCTCATGATCTCGAGATAACGAATGCTGTTTTCCCGTGATAACCAGTAAATTTTCTTGTGATCTCGAGATAACAAACCATAGCTGAATACAGGGGTCGACAGGTGTGTTTCTTTAGGATAATTTCAGAAATATTTTCAGTGTCACTGGTCAGTTCAGTTGGTAGAGCACAGGACTTGCAATCCTAGAATTCTGCTCTTGATGACATTTTTTTCTTCTTTTGTGTGTTTTTTAGTATCTTCGGAAAAGTTGTTATGAAGAGATTCAGGGGAATCCAATCACACATTTCCCGATGGCTATTTCAAAGGTTCTGAAATAGCCATCAGGAAATGTGTAACATAAAATGGATTCCCCTTAATGAGAAGCGAAGAAATTTCCTCTGCCTGGGAATGATGGGGAAATGAAAAGTCAATGTTGTTGATGGATGTGGACCAATCACCAGTCCAGCACGTGCTTTATTGTGAGCATGTGAAATAGTCTCTTCATAAGAACTTTGTTGAAGAGGATTATGAAAAAGAAAAAAAAAGATGTTCAGTGAGGATCAAACATACAACCCTAAGACTATGAGTACTCATCTCTACCAACTCAGCTAACCAGTGACCCTAAAAACCAAACAACATTCCTTATCTGGAGATCTCGAGAAAAATTATCCCGTTATCACAGGAAAAAAAAGAAATTAATCGGTGGCTGCTTGGGGCTTCCGTAATTAATGATAATTTTGGTTATAGTTAATATTGTAATTATTAATCCAAGTTCCAAATACATAGTATTTTATGAGAGTAAATTAATTAATTGAGTACCAATTTACTCTCCTTTAAGAATGGTGCCCCAAGGTGAACCATTATTTAACATAAATACTGATGCTATATAAACCATAATTCCCTACAGCTGGATATTTTTAAGCCTGACTATGATCTTTCTCAAACCATAACCTTAATTAGCAGTTTTAGTTACCTACACTTTAAACTTCACCATAAACATGGCAGATCAGGAAATACTCACTCGAACCATTTTTGGAATGTTTATATGGGTCACAAAACTAAGTGACAAAACAATATTTGTTTAGGTATAGGAAATTACTGTGACCCATATGTGGACAAGTTCATAACAGGCAACAAGCTCAGTCATTCTAACCTTTCCTACTCCAATGCTTTTAGCATCCAATGCACAGCAAGTCTGACCCCTGTTAGTGCAACACCTTTTCACTCGTGTCATATAGCATTCCTGTGATAGTTAACAACCCTAAGCCACTGTGATATGATGCATAAATATCAGTAATGTGATAATGGAATTAATAAAAAAGCTTTAAATGTTTCTCCGTGTGTGTAAGTATTTATTTCCTGTGCAGACAACATTTCTTTAATAAGAAGATTAGTTGTTAATGCATTTAGCCATTTTATTCCCGCTAGGTATTGATTCTTCAGTAGGGTTGGAAGGTTGCATTTATTCAACAACAAACATTTTAGATGCAGGATTTCGGTAATTCGGTAAATTCAAATCCTTTTGTAATGCTCATATTTTCTATTCTAAGAGTTCCAACTGTTTTCTGTGGATTGATTCATTGTCCTTCAAAACCCAATTATGATTTTGTTTTTGAATTGTCTGACCTACTTTTGTTTATGACTATGATTACCAAGTATGTTTCTGCTGTGATTTCAATTTGCATGTGACAGCCATCCCCCAAAAATCTGAAACTAAGGATTTGGGTGTTGTTGAATATTTTCACTGTGACCATAGTTGCCCCCGCAACATCAATCTGGTAATTTCCTTCAGTGTTAATCTTGACATTTTGGCAGAGAAAAATCATTTTGCAGTGCTGTTTGATCTCTAGCCATCCCTGTCAAATCTCCAAGTGTCCATCATGCTGCTGCATTATTAATTC